TCGAGTCAGCTACTGATAAAGTTCGTATCATTCGTATGATTGTAGGATATCGTAGATTTCTATCGGATAAAAAACTAATGTAAGTATATGTTATAGACATTTATTATACAAATTATTAAAATCACAGCGGTTGTTTTTCATCATGATGATTTCGGCAGGATGTACAGCTACACTCACGATAGGCATCTAAGATTATGACTTGTTCCACAGTTTAGCCTGAACGGAACTTTTTGCACAATACAAGTTAGAACGAGTTGTTGACGCAGCACGAATTCCTCACGTCCAACTTATTGAGCAAACTTTTCTACATAAAACAGTTATTTCAATATAAGTACATGGATACAATGCTTTATTTTATTCGCATAGTTGATACATGTGATTATTTTCAATTCGAAGCTACGTTGGGCCGTTTCGTTATCTCAAGTGGACTTGTTTCGTACGCACTGACTACAGTGCAACGCTACGGATGCAAAATCGATCACGCCCGCCATACGTAAAATCGTGTGTCCAGTCGGCTCCATCCGTCCCAAAATGCCTCTACCCATACCGCAAAGAATCGGCCCCGTCCTCGCCCACCAAAAGCTAATTCAAAACGCACAAGCAGCTGGGTTCAGACTCGTAGCTTTATTGAATACATCTAGTAGCTGAGGCGTAACAGAATTAAGCAATATTTGAACGTTAATTTCTGTGATTAATAAACTGCATGTCTGTATCGATCTACTGAGATAATATTTTTATCTTCAGCTTGTTAGCAGTGTAGCCCGCGAATTATACTATCATGGCTCAAGGGACCATCAACGAACCGGAAATTTTGCCATTACTAATATCGGCCTTGTGGCCTTAGAGGGAACAGCAAAACAAATTATAGGTGTGCAGAAACTTATGAATGTTTTTCTCATATGAGTGCTCCGTTCTTTTTCGACGGCTTTTATTTGAACGTAAATACAATGATTTTATGCCTTCTTCAATGCCTGCTTCTGTACACAGAAAGACTCACATTTCTAGTTTGTTTCCCTAGGATTCAAGTACGCTGGTATAGATCAGCGTTATGCATAGTTTTTGCTATGTTATTTTCTATCTTTGCTTTTTTGTCGCACGTATCATATCATATATATATATGAATGTTGATGGACTCGAAATCCATAGTCGTCACTTGATTGCCGTACAGTTTATAATTAATAGTCTATTCACATCCACTCTTCAATGGCTTGTTACTCACTTTAAGGAGGTGGATTGTGTCGTCGTGTTTCACCCTCGAATCAATTTGAAATCAAAGATTGGGCTAGTCACAAGGAATGCACAAAAAAACAGGCACTCGCAAACGTTTTCAGGTTATCGTGTAGTCGCTATTATCATGTAGTTGCAAAATGGGTGTCATACTGGGCTTTGAACCGATTTTTTCTACGTACACATCCAGAGGCTTTGCCGTCTAACCCACCATCGTTATGTAACAGGCACAGAATATGACAACTATAAAGGTATTAAGATACGAACTCGAGTATATAACAAATAATTTTTTTTTTTCATTATCAGGCAATCGAGAGCCAATCAGCAATCCAGGTCTCTGAGAACTTATCGTTAAATACCTGCATACGTTTAGCGTTAATAATTATAATAAACAATTTCTAATTACGGAAGATCAAAACTTGACCCTGACATCCTTGCGAGATACCTTCATGCCAGCATCCTAGCGATTATTGAAAAAGCCTTAACTGGACCTACGTTTGACTGGACAGGTTAAAATTTACAAATGACAAAGCAAAAAAAGGGTTGTTCCACATCAATTTTTTGCGTTGGCGATTAAACTTTTCCCTGCTGCCAATTTTGTGCAAGACTTCAAGGTGCTTTATTATCAGTACAAAAAGAATATATATAGAGTTGTCAGAAAACTACCAGCTATACTGCTGTGAAGTCATACACGTCATCTAGCATTAGTCGCGTCGAATTGGTGTTGAGATCATTTGAATGTTTACATTATAAAACCGTTAAATTGCCTCTATCTAGACTTAGGATTGAAGATGATTCCTTTTTCATAAAAACCTGTATTTTTATTACGTAGTAGTATTTTTATTTTATTATTATTATTAAAATGTTTCTTTCGGTAATTTTTTTGTGGCCGAGGTGCGTTATCGAAAGCTGCGGTCTAAGAATAGTTTTCTTGCTTCCGTTTTGGAAATTTCGACGTAGAAAACACTGCCCGTTATGGTCGACGAGTTACGAAAAAAAAAAAGGTTGATGAAATAATTGCAGCTATAATCGACACTGAATAGCCATGACATCGCTAAAGAGCTAACCTTCAGTCGCCAACTATATCGAAGGAGCTGGGTATTTGGGTTTCACGTGAACGGACATGAAAGGATTAACTCGATCCTATTTACATCTACAAAACTCTATCGAGACGCAACAAAATCGAGCTGTTTTTATAGCAGCGCTGATCGAGCTGGAAAGGGAAACTATATTATGAACTGCTAGCGCGCGCAAAAACGTTTGATTCAAACTTCTACCGTAAACGACTAACAAGGTCACAAGAAGTCAATAGGCGAACCGATCAGAACTAACGGACGTAAAACGTGCCATCTTGTACCGTGATAATGACGATGCCAGACGCATGCCTACATCCTTGGCTATTCGTCAAAAAAATAGGAGAATTAGGATGCAATAATTCAACGAGTTAGCCATATGCACCGGATCTCACGCCCACATCAAATTCTCGTCTGTTTCAATATACATTTTTTACAAAGTGCAAACCTAGGTTCATTTAAGTAATTTGAACAGGTTTTTGTCAAGCTGTAACAGTGTAGTTTAGGTCACTAAGCTAGCCTTTTATATTGCTAGGGAATTGACGCCTATTGCTATACTAACGACGAGTACGTCCTCTGTCTCATTAGATAGCGACTTCCAGTTAAGATTAGCGGAATAAGGCCACCAGTGTGATGACATAAATCAGATCAAAAGGTGTTTGAGAAGCAGACAAGACGCTGCTGGTCACTCAACCGGGAAATTAGCTGTCACACATAATCTTGGCAGGTTGTTGTGGCGCGACGGTAATTTAAAGCACGTGCTACAAATAATTATCCTTCATTGGTGGCCTGTCTCCCTCTAAGCTTAAGTTCTCCTTAGTATTCTGACCTTACCAGTATAAGAACACCGAATTTCTGAAAGTTAATCAAAATTTCCTGCTGGCCTTCTGCAGTCTGTCAATCCTGCTTATGGTGGTATTCCATCTAGCAGTATATAATTTTGTTTAACCATTGTCAAATTGATAGCATTGTAACGAGTGGTCTATATAGGCCTTGCTAACTAACGTTAAACTTGAATAGTTAACTTTTAACGTATGACGGGAGCAAGAGTGTTACATGCACGTATTATGTCAAATCTGATTTAGACTCAGCTAACGGCTAAGGCCTCCTTCAACGACACCTTGAAATGACCTTCCTTGAAATTTCTGTGAATCAGCAAACTAACCTTAGCAAGGTGAGATTCGGGTGAGAAACTCTATTTCTAGGAAAAACAGGAGAAAGCTTGTTTTGAACTTGCGTCCTGCTACGAACGGGCCGAACACATTCAACGGTAGCTAAGTTATACTTGACTAACTGTATTGAGTAAGTTTTTTGTTAAATATCGTTTGGTAAAACTAATCATCACTATGTCACAGAAATGCGGGCGGCTACCAATATTGGCTTTGGATTGCTCATTTGGTGCCTTGATACTGCATCAGACTAGCTTAAATATATTAATCGCAAAACTTGGTAGGCCATCAGGATCGTTAAAATGTTATTACCCTGTTTACGGGCTGTTAAATTGGGCGTGTATGAGGCCTTAGCTTGCGTTGCAACGTAAAAGCCCATAGCAGCCGAATCCGCAAATTACACACAAACTGAATTTTTGTTTTAAAGGCAAACGATTAATTCGGCAGGAAAACATTTATTTAGAAAAGGGAAATTCGATATTCTGTAAAATAGGATAATGCTGGAAAAGTAGTGATTTTAGTTAATAGGAAGGTCGCACGTGTTCAGCTTTATAAAATCAACACTCGATACGTTCAGCACCACATAAAAACCGCATGAGACTACTATGTTGCTACGTCAACCCACCAGATTCAAGACAAAAAATGAAGCAAACAGTGACAAAGCTCCTTGTTTTTGCAAAAATTCAGTCATTCTTGCTAGAAGTATAAAATAAGGGTAAGATCAACTGGACCGACTGAGACTGCCCTTCTCTGAAAGGTTCCAACAACGCGTGCAGGAAGAAGTGTTTCTGAACTATTGCCATGAAACGGGGCTACAAGAACTTCGCAAACTATCCTACGGAAAATAGTAATGTCTTCGAAGTTATTCTTGCAAATAATGACCTCACAGAACATCCGACAATCTGGCAAGCTCTCGTAGCCATTCACTATACAATAGCGGCGTTCCGAATCTGACGCAGCTTCCAATCCAGACATTATGGTGTAATCCATAATCCAATAACCATAAACTTCGTCGCAGCTTGTCGCAATACGGATACAGTCGAATACGTTATTCGGTACGTAATACTAAAAATTAAAAAACCATATCTAGAAACCTTCTTCGTCGTCACAATTCGTCGTCGTTGCCTCTCGTCATTGGCTGCTGTGTACATCTTTACGTCATCAGCGTATACTTTGGTATACATATTTCTAGGTACATGTATTATACGTACAGACGACAACTGAGAATTTTGTCCTGCAGGCTGCCTGTCGGCAGCTAGGAATAAGATGAGAGATTCTTATCTATTTGTACCCAAATCTTTTATTTCTTAGGAACAGCTTTATCAATCTTTGTCCTACCCGATGTTTCGGCAAATTATTGAGCAATTCAGAATCAAAATATATACAACGAAAGGTTTCCTACTTGTTATGGAAGTTTTGCTCTACTTGTAAATAAGTGTTTGTAAGGGGCGCTCGCCACTAACTGTCTACAAGACACCAGTTATCCCAATTGAAATTACGATGGTCAAGCAAAAATTAAACGTATTACTCGAAGCAGGACTGACTCTCTCGAATCAGCTATAGGAAATGTTGGACAGGGAAGAAACCGGTAGAAACAGGGAAAACAGGCTGCATTGTCTACAGCTAAAATGTACCTGCAATGCGGGGGTACGTTCAGCGGTACGTCGTTTCAATTTTATTAGCAGACGAGATGGAAGAGCGATGATCGATAATGCCGCACACATTTTTTGTTGTAACTTTTTTTCGGCCGCGTCTCCATTGGCTGAAGAAATTAATTGACGCGCAACCCGATCCCATCGTTCGTCGATGCTCCAAATATCCTGGACATGGTTAAGTATGTTGGCGACAGTCAGTGTCGTCTATTTTAAAACTGGCAAACCCCTGGGGGAATTTCTGCTTTTGTCCTTAACAAATACATTTGCAAAGCCCTGTCTGATTTTTTGACGTTCGCTTGAGGACGGTGTAGTTATTAGCTTGTTTCGAATCGCCATCGTGGTAACAAAAGCGATCCATCCAACAAACAGTTGTCGCTAAATCCTTGGAAAGTATAATATCCTGTGCGACCTTTAACAATAAAATGTAAAAGGTTATAGAATCTACATGCAACTGTTCAGGGCACGGGATAATTCGGTTTTCATGATAGTTTGTATCCATTATGATTTTAAATTATTCAACAATTTACCGAAATGCTAAATAGGACAGGGCTTAGTCACCCGAGTTGCACTGTCCCTAAGAACAAAAACTTTCGTGTACGAGTAGATAAGAATCTGTTCTGTTCTGCTCCAGGTGCCTCCACGCTGCTTACGGAAAATTGAACAAAAAACTATCTATGTGCCGTGTTATATTTTAGGCATCGAGATGATCATTGTATTGGCGAAGCGCAGTGTGCTATCAAAGATCTGGGTGGGCCAATGCACATTGTCCACTTAATTGAAATGTAACCACTGTCTGTTATTAAAAATTTCTCAGCTGTACATACGATTGTGTCAAAAATACATTCGTTAGGTTATAGTACATGCTTCACAACGAGGAAAATATACGTAACAAAGCCAGGATCAGGAAAATACAGAACGAGAAGAAGTTGCATACAAGAAGCTGTTTACTATCCTAATATTAAGACGCATGACGGTAAATTTTAACTAACGCAGCAAAGCGGTACGAAAATGCTTGAAACAAACATGCCTAAATCAGTGGAGAGCAGAGCGCTTCTTTATAGGCTATATATATATATATAAAACATGGAAAATTTTGAGGAAAAGCAGAAAGGCACGCGCAGTAAGTTTTTGTTCGCCGTACGGGCCATAATTTGTGTCAATAATCGGTCATGTTTTGTTTCTTTTTTATTGCAGAATAAAGTGTACCATTATTATAATTATGTATGTGGCAGGAACGGCATTTTGTAAACGAGGGCAGGGCTTTATAACCTTGCTTTGCAGGTACGTCCGGTAAATTTACTATGAGAATTTGCGGAAGAATTCTGTTATCGATAGTATAAACCTCGATCCAAGTTTAGGTGGCAATAAATATGACCTGCGCATCGCTGTTGATAGGCGTCATATAGAGTAGTACCAGTCTCTAGCTGCGATTATTCAAAACTCGTTTGTACCGATACCTATAGAAACGCTGGAAGGAGTCAATGTATTATGGATTAAATGGTTCGTTCGTTCGTGCGTAGTCTGATCACCGAATTTGTGTGGTATAAATTCCGTCTAAGACAATTCAGGGGACGTCTTAAATGTAGAAGAGGCCCCACTTTTTATTAGTACCGCAGGCTTAGGAGGAATGCAACCTTACTAGGAATGCAACCTGTTAGAAAAATTCATACAAAGTTTTTTTAAAGCTTCGGTAGCTTTTTTGAACTTGGACAGAGATTTATTTTTTCAGGAAGCTATTTTGGACGAAATAGGCCCGTTCGAACACGTATGGACGTCGTGCGGTCAAAGTACATACGCGTATGTAAAGAGCATACGTCTCAATCGAAGTACCGATCGCCAGCCTGTTACTTTAATTGAATGCCCCTGCAGCCCACTGGGATATTCCATTCTGAATCGCAATTATTTTAGTTGCTCAGTATGCTATATTGGACGGTTTCACGTATCTGAGCACGAAGCGTGCCTAGACATAATCACTTCCATTGAAGGCACGTCGGCCATTAATGTCTATTTTGCTGACGACAGCATAAAACGGAACAGTAGTAAGCAAACCGTCCGAATACGTTGTCCTGACTACGAGTAACAATGGCCGTTGACGATAAACGCCCCGTACGGATCGGCTTTACAGGAACACATCAAAGTTAGAACCAAATCATACGGCAGCTAGATATTACGCACATCCATTGAGGGCTAGGAGAATGAACACAGAAGCAAGTTTAGTCTTTTGTGAGTTCTTAACAGAGCGTTATTTTACCTAACCGTACAAATTAGCCGTCAGCACTTGCGCAATATGTAGAAACTCAGCTAACGGTTTCGACAAGGATTGAAGTATTGCAAAGGTGCACCTTAATTTTGAAAGATCCAATTTTGCATCTCGTTCGTAGGGGCTTCGTAACTTACGGTATAATGTAACATAATTATTTATTGAACGAGTTAGATTCCATTCAGATACATTTTACGCGAAATATATATATAGGCTCCGTTAGAGCTGACGCTCATGAGAACGATTAAGATAGCAAGGCTTGATATGATAAGAATTGATTTTAGCCTGTTTGCTAAAAACATGAATTGTGCATTAGAACTTTTTAGATTTTAGAGATAGACTTCACTATTGACCTCGCAACTCGCTGATCCAGAAAGTGTACTCTGAAGTTATTCACAAATGTCTTTCTGTCGAGAGCGAACAGTCGTTGAGACATAGTTGGTTACAGGGATTCGTTCATAACGTATCAGCCGTGAAAATAAAAGATAACCATTGAGTAGGAGCGATTCATTCTTTTTTTGCATAGGGCTACAGCTCTGATAAGGTCTAGTCACAAGGCAGACGAGCGTCTCATATCCATTCAGGCATACTTGGTACTGTTGTCAAAGAAGTTTTTGGCCCTGATCATGCGTAACACGACTTTCGTTTTTGCTCGAGAATTAGAAATGAGGTCTCATAAATCATCTCTCTTAGAGGCATTTCCGACCTGGACCTTTTTTTAGAACAGAAACGACGCCTCTTAACTAGAGCAGAAAGAACGTAAACTATGAATTTAAATTTCTTACCCGCTGGTGCGTAGATCAACTGACAAATTTAGAAAAACAATATTGAATTATCTTAGATTTCTTCCAATGACATCAATAAGCATAGGATTTTTTTTGAAATCGTGTGTTCACCATGCCAAAAACGATCACTCCTTATATTTGGCTTGTTGGCCTTTAACACAGTTGCTGTTGTTTTACAGCGTTTAATACAGAGAAAAGTACGCACGGCCTTTACAGGGTAGAAATGTTTCTCAGGTCCAGGTGGAGATGGCCGTGATCGCTTGCTCCACCAGCTGTAGCAGCTGTGCCCTTTGTTGTTTAGAATAGTGGCCTGAACTGCATTGCTAGTCAGGTTAAATGGAACTTATCTGCCCTGATCAGGCTGATAAGTTGACTCCTCGAGACTGTTTGTAGTAAAGCTTGTTTTTGGGGAAACCAACTTCTCACTTGTAAGGTCATTTTTTGTAGAAGCTTAGGCTTTTTCAGTGCCTGTATCCTGCAACGAGCAGTAACGCTGGTGACACAGTGGGGGGGGGGGGGGGGGGGGGTCAGTAAGGAATATATGCGACATATAACTTAAACATATACATTCCGAATAAATATTTATCTGCAATAGTTATTAGAGATAAAAAATTTCATCCCTATTTTTATGCTTGTAACGACATAATATGTACAAAATTTTCGGTTAATCTTAAAGACAACAGGCTGACTTCAGATCACGCATTCACATAAAACTATTTCTTCTTACCCAAATATCTGCCGAAAATGATCCTCTAGGCAAAAAAAAATAGCCACTTGTTTAAAAGAAGGAAACTCTGCCGTTTGAGGCATACGGACATCGGTTTGTTAAACCATCGAAAAAGCTTTGCGATATGTTAGCTCTCGCTAGGATTCAATAGGAATTCGTTATTGTAATTGCACAGAAACTGATTACAGCCCGAATCTGTGTGTCCGAATGTGGGAATGCTAAATGTATCAATTGCTGTTAGGAAAACCATATCCAGCCGACATGTAAAATCGCAGAAGGCAAACACCAGGTAAAGCAGTCGTTCTATCAGCTAAGGATTTCAATCACACCACGGAGAAGGATTGTAAAAACACAGCTTATCCCAGCCGAATTTGAACAAGGCAAAAAAATCAAGGCATAATAAAAACAAATATCAATCCTCGTACTTCGGCCATGCTGCAGATATTTCAAACTAAAGTCCCAAAAATTAAGCACTAAAAGGCAAATGCGTTACTCATTATTGCGATTAGTGACACCATCTGCCTCTATAGTTTCGTATGAGTAGACCTCAAACGTACACAGACGAAGGAGAAATTCCTTAGAAGTAGGTAACCTCCAGAACACATGAAAGCTACGGATTTACGGTTAAAAATAGTTCTAAGGAACAGTTATAACTCTTCTACGTGAAGGCTATCCGTATCCATGAATATTGATGAAAGTACGTTTAAAATCGAATACGTAATTATTTGATACATCTCATACCATAATTCAATCACTCGTGTGTATTTTAAGACAAAGCTCAATATTTAAGACTTTCTAGGGAATGACTCGTTACATAAAATAGCCGAGATAAGTTGGAAGACACCGATGTTTCTTAATGGGCGTTTGTGCGCCAAGAAGGTAGTCCTAGTTGAAAGCACTCACAAACGCGTCTTCAGATTTATCCGAAAGGAAAGAGGTCCTGAGCCTAACAGGTATCCTCGAGGTTATCAGAACGATGTTCTGATCATGACTAAAACCAAAAAGTAGAATTTTTACACTATTTTTTGATGCGATTCATCAAAAGACAGTCCTGTATTTCCCAATAAAGTACAAAATTCTGAAAAGCTTTAATAACTAAGGCACCAAACAATACTCGGAGAGGGTACAAGCTGTGCGAACTAGGCCTGAAGGAAGGAGCCGAAGTGCGTTTTTTCTTAACCTTATGCAATATTCTGCTAAACTTCGTAGAAACAGCTCAGCGTTATATGACCTTCTTGAACGCGTACGAAGTACATACAGTACAGAGAACACCGAGCGGCACTTAACAATATTAAATAATTAGGTTGATGGTAACAGAACAAGCTAGAGAAATTGATGAAAAATTGCTATTCTCGCAGAGTATGTTCCTCCAAATGGCATAATGGTGATGTCTTCTCTTTAATTTCTTGGCACTTCATAAACGCCAATTGCGCCCCCCTTGAAAAGACGAATGAATGTAGAAGAACAGCGACTACGAAGCTCGGGCAGTCAAAGAGTGCTTAAAAAATGGGTAGTATGTTCTTTTGTAGCAATCGCTTCACGGATCTTCTTCGTCAAGGATAGCCAGATGGGGGGTTAAGTATAGGCGGCACAAAACAAAGACGCATTGCAATGCGAATATACAATAATGGTTTTCGATAAGAATGAGGAAACTTCAAAGGAGGTTTAGATTTTCCATAATAAATACATGGGAATACTTCCGACTTCGTGGTCTAAAGTCGAAGACTTATCCAAATCTGACCAGGACGTTTAGAAAATAGTCGGAGCTATTCTAACGGTCGGATTGAATACTACAGCCCCGGAAGTGCTCTGAAAAACATTTCTGTTTTTTTTTTTTAGAGAATATTATTAGCAGGAAACGTTCACTATGTTCCCGACAGTGGAAATCAATTCATAAGCTTAAGCTTTAAGTCTTTTTCTGAAGGGAATAGCATGATGCATATATAGTTGTCAGCACCATATCAAGGTCAATCTTTACAAAATATGTATACGGTAAGTATGGCAAAAGGGCGTATAAATCATGTAATAGATGATAGTGTGAGAGAAATTGTCAGAATCATTACGAAAGTCCTAATGCGCCTACAGGAAGCAATCAAGCGTCCGCGCAAAGCGATCGACCTATAAAACAGCGTTCTGCAAGAAAAACGGTGAAACAACATTGACTATGCCAAAAAAGAAAGCGGAAATTTAATCTAGAAATTAAAATAAAAAAAAAAAGCTTCAAATCAGAAGATTCCGCAGCTGTCAGAACTTACAGAACAGAACAAAAAAAATAAATAGGTTACAGGCGGTGTCGTAAAATATTATCGTACAGACCGCATAACAATTGTCCAATGATATATCAACGATACAAAACGTATAGGTCAAACAAATTTAGAAGAGCAAATAATTATAACCAGCTAGTAGACCACTATTATGATTACAGAACCGCTATAAGGCTGGCAAGTCAACGTGAAAGAACCAACAACTTCCAGGGCAAGCAAACGATATCACCAAATTCAAAAGAATCTAATTGACTGGCTAATTCAATTACCCAGACGGTTATCCTTTTAAAAACCTAAAAACGACCAGAGACAAGCCACCATACGATGTTTATTCGACGCAGAAAACTATATGGTCACCAATATGAGACATAACACGTATTCAAAATTCCTTGTCCTTAGCATAGACCTTATGTATGTTCTCGGAAGTGCAGGCAACCATCAGCTAACGACCAAAAGGCCTTTATAATACTATATACACAGATGACCAGTAAAAGGGTTGCATTTACTGAGTTGTAACAAAGTCATTAATAAAGCACAATAAGCACTCATCCATAATCAAAACGTAAGTCGTTACACAATGCAATGATGTTCTGACTTAGCCAAAGATTGCCACCTGATACACCTGGGCTAAACACTGAACAATTCGAGTACATCACTTAGTCTCAGTCTTCTTTTTTTCAGAAGTCAGGTGCTGGTTGTCGCCTATGAGGACGTGTTAATTCTCTTGAGTAAATCGACTATCTGCTGATTTTCAAGAGACATAAAAACTCAATTTGGCCTTCAGCCAACCTCAAGCGTGTAACCTTTATAGTGACATAAATAAGAGGTTTGCTCTCAAAAATGTTCGAAACCGCCTCGCACCTAGCAATCATATGTCACAAAGACAAATAGACGTCATCGGTTTTTCACTGTTTCGACCCTAATATATCAATTTTATTATAAGAACATATGCTTCGTTTCTGGTTAACATACAAAGAAATATTTCCAGTTCTCGACTGATACCAAGAATGCCTTTTCCATATAAACACTCATGGAGGAACTGTGTGGCCATTTTTTGTAAAAACAATAATGTCGTAAGAATTTTTCGCGTGTTTAGTTTACCTCGGCCCTTACAGCCTTCTTAGGGTACACACCTATAAGGGGTTCCAGCAAAGAACCGCCCAGAAAGGCTCGAGGAGAAGCCGCATTGTAGTCAAACAGACACGATCAGCTTTATTAAACACGCTAGAAAAAAGGAGATCGGAAGAAAGATTAGGGATGAAAGCTCTGGATTAGTGACATACAGGAATATATTGGGGATTTGTATTTGTTTGTTCCGTTAAGTATTATTCCAAGCGGATGGTTCTCACAGTGTGGGTCTACGACACAGCATGTACGCCCGAATTCGAACCCAGACCACCATGTGACCCAAATTTTAACCTGCAGGCACGTTACTTGCTAAATTATATCCGACACCATATTACGCATCGGGAATAGGAGTATTGTAATGTCTCTCTCAACGTCTGTTAAAGGTTCAAGTGTTGGTTTGCTTCCTCCAGCTTCTCTTATGGTATTTAAGCGATGGCATATCAAGTTTCCGGTTGGTTAATACCAGAGATGCGCCAGAGGGCTGGCGTGCTTTTGGGATTCCTCCGAGAGGAAAACAATACGATTGCAGAACTTCTTCAGAATAAATAGTCTCGCTTTTGAACCCTCCTTCGTTTCACAGAAACAATTATTTGGTGATGTCACTTTCCCTGTTTATCAATTTTCTGTGATGCAGAGCACAAGCAGCGTAAATCAAGGACGTCTCTCACTTCCTGTATTCCTTATGGAGAATTCGGAGACAGCGTGTGCTTCAACCGTAGACCCTTAATGTCGTCGTACATTTGATGTTGTACTTGAAATCACCCGAACAATACTGTTGATTGATTGATTGATTGAAATTGATACGACAGAACAACAGCGTTTCTTACAGACTTTCTAACATGGTCACGATTCATTGGTTTAATAATAATAATAAGAAGAACATAAACTGTGAAGTTATTATCAGTATTAGGACACCGGCGCGAAGTTTCGTCGCTTAATGGATCATTATCCTGTTAAGTCGAGCGTTAGACTTTAAGTTGATATGATTTCTTTAAGACAGCATTGTCAAAAAAAAGTGTCTTTAAAAAGCACCCGTTGGGAATTCTAACGCTATTTAAAAACGTAGACTTCTCGAACGAGGTAATGCTCGTCGCAGCACTCACTTCCGGCCAAATGTTCACGCTCATTCTACCCGCTTATTTCACACGTTTATGTCAAATAAAAAATATTTACAAGGGCAAGTATTACATTGTCGTACTGCATTGTTCTCCCCTAACAAGCATGCCTGTAGTTCAATTAAGATACATTTTAAAAAAAAGAAATAAATGAGCTTTTCTCCGAGCCAAATTAGCAATACACTAAGGAGCAGACTTGCTATGTCTCCGATGCTCCAGTATGCTACTATCTAGTTGATTATATCAGCGATGACTAGGCGCTTCAGAATTGTACTTACGCAGCATACGGTCGGCCAAGACCGAAATAATACCTGCACGAGGCCATTTCTGATTGATGGAATGGCTGCACCCTCCCCTCTACGCGTGAAATCAACGACATTACACCGAGAAAATTCCCGAGAAACTTCTAAAAATGAATGCACCTAATAGAGACCCTCAAATGTTACTAACTTTTCGAGATATAGTAGTATAAAAGAACTTTCATCATTAACATTAGGTATCAGCGCATAAAAAAACGGATGCCTTCAGGTACAAAGTAGAATCATTTATTAGGCCTTTGCAACGTCAGTTTCACGTAGGAGATTTTTCCAAAGCATTATCGTACCGCTTAGTTTTCTTTTTTTAGCTTAATTTTACTTAACTAAATGAAATATGACAAAG